ACTTCCCAACACGTCACGACACACCAATTCAACAACTACTACTTTAAATATAATTTTATATTTAATAAAGCAATGCATCTAATATTAATTATCACAATTGTAATAATAATAATAATAATATATTTTAATAAGCCTTACTTAAAAATTAATATATTTTACAAATGTACTTAGTTAATATGCATTGAAATCTTTGTACACCTAAAGGAACTCTGAGAGAACACTAGAGAATACTCTGACCATTTCTCAAGATAAAGAAGTTCTCTAGAATTATTAAAGTAAGGTATGATTAAGGATTCCGGGCGCGCCAACTGATAAGATAATTAGTCCCGTAACTGTAGTGCACGTTTATCGCAGGTGGTGGTGGTGGTGGTGGTGATATTCGCAGCTTGAGGACGAGATCGAGCGCCGACCTAAATGTCGGGTAGCGGGTCTTTCCACAAACAGGTTTCTCCACCAGCGGAGCACCGCCCCAGCCGTGACAAGCTCTAAGCTCCTGACTGGTCTCCTGGCATGGGGTAGTGTAGTGCATATAAATACATGTATAGTGAGGATAGGACAAAGAAGAGGAAGGAAAGATCGCGCGTGGTCCGTGATAGGATTCTTAAGGTACTGCTCTGGCATTCACCTGCTGTTGACTGGGAAAAACACATAAAACTACCGATTAGAGCAGCCGACCGCTAGAATCCCTTACTTAGCTAACCAGCTATTGTCGAAATTCCTGCCACCGTGGAGACGTAAACCTAAAACCTCCTAGTCAGATGTACTGCAATGACATCATTTGGTTTACTTCATCACCTCTCTCTCTAAAGACTGGTACGGAATGGATCTAAAAGTCTCCGCCTCTGCAGTAGAGGATTAAGAAACTACATTGAGAAGTGGTGCCTTTCTCCGATAAATTCCAGGCGAATGGGAAGCAGTACCACGAATAGCAAGAGATATTTCATTCCTAATTCTGTGACAATTATATTTGTAATAGCCAGCTGAAGGCTAATGCTCTTCTCCATATGGCTATACCCCCTGATCCCTTGAGGCTCCCTCAATGCTACGAATTTTAGGTACATAACAGCAATGCAAATAGCAACACGTGAGTGTACTGCGGGTTGCATTGACCAAGTGACAGGGGCTTGCGTGAAGATACTACAGATCTCTTGAAATTATTCAGTGCGTATGTATGTTCTTTGGCATACCAGCTCTTTACGCGTTAAGACCTACCAGCAGGGTTCCGGCCTTGGGGCCTCGTACCATATCTGGGGTGTTTTTTGATCCCACGATCATTAATTTATTTATATTTTACTAAATATTTTCCTGAATATTTGCAGGATAATTTCAGTCTTCTACATATGCATTAATGCACTTATTAAGCAGACACTAAAACATTTTTACATATTTCCCAAAGTTTTACAGAGTTGTTATTCTTGTTTGTTACATGGTACTTTTTGTTTGACCTTTGATATAGTTTATAATTTTCCTATTCTCTTATCAAACATATTGTCACGAACTTCAAAAGGGTTACAGATATTAATTTTTGTCTCATATTTGATTCATCTCGAAATAACTTCACAAATACTTTGAAGGCTTCGTACGGTGGAGAATTCTTTATATGAAATATTTAATATTAATAAATTATATTTATTACATTACTTAATATGACATAAAAATGTATTCTTACATAAAATTATTTACACCCAGTATATGGCCGTACACATTCATGTTTACTATTTCCAATTGACAGAAAAGGATGGAGTCAAATAAACCCCAGGTATAGTACGTGATATAAACAGATATGGTACGAGAGTTAAGGGATACGTGTGTTTAGCACATAGACATCACTAAGCCGTATTTCTGGTATTCTCAACTTGTGAGATTAACTTTCTCATAGTCACACACCAACATATATTGGGACATTGCAAGGAAAGCGCGCAACAAATTTTTGCCCTGACCGGGAAACCAACTCGGGGTTGCGCCGTCGAAACCGTGCACGCTAACCAACGAGCCACGGAAGGCCCAAATTACAGGGTATGTGGTCAAAAAATGTGCTACTATTTCTTCAGCTGTCTCTTATGTCGTTACAGATTAGTATCTGCGTTGTGGTTTATTATTAGTATCTACGCCATTTAAAAACTTCTTATTTAACTCAAACTTATTTTAGAAACGCTCGTGACACCAGAGGAGAAAGTTTCATTACTTTTCTTGTATTATTACATGTACTTTTGATCTAGAGGTATACGCAATATCTGGATGCAACATGTCTATACTATTTTTTAATACTCCTCTTTGTTTTTCTTAAAAATGAGTATATTGTACTACTGATTACTACGACCATAGCTTCAGCATCCGACACGTGCCGTTCACGAAATTGAAAACGGCCGAACCATGCACTTCTGGAACCTACGTCACTAACGCCCAACGCAAGCACGAAAGTGCAAGCGATGAATCAAACGCGACAAAGACACTCCGTCCAAAGGAGAAGTCGAAACGCGCGTGACAAAGGGCGCCCGGACAGCCAGACGCTGCGCAGGCTCTTGTTACGGGAGAGCGGAGGAAGAACGCGACGAGACAAGTGTTTACGCGGCGGTGATTTACAGCAAACTGACACCGCGCGCTGCGTGCTGTTTATTTCGACTGCCGAGCGCCTCTGTCTCTTCTCTTTCTGTCTCTTCTCTGTCTGTCTCTTCTGTCTTTCTGTCTCTTCTGTCTCTTCTGTCTCTCTGTCTCTCTGTCTCTCTGTCTCTTCTGTCTCTCTGTCTCTTCTGTCTCTCTGTCTCTTCTGTCTCTCTGTCTCTTCTGTCTCTTCTGTCTCTTCTGTCTCTCTCTGTCTCTCTCTGTCTCTCTCTGTCTCTCTCTGTCTCTCTCTGTCTCTCCCTGTCTCTCTCTCTGTCTCTGTCTCTCTCTCTGTCTCTCTCTGTCTCTGTCTCTCTCTCTGTCTCTCTCTGTCTCTGTGTCTCTCTCTCTGTCTCTCTGTCTCTCTCTCTGTCTCTCTCTCTGTCTCTTTCTCTCTCTCTCTGTCTCTGTCTCTCTCTCTGTCTCTCTGTCTCTGTCTCTGTGTCTCTCTCTGTCTCTCTGTCTCTGTCTCTCTCTGTCTCTCTGTCACTCTCTCTGTCTCTCTCTCTGTCGCTCTCTTTGTCTCTCTCTGTCACTCTCTGTCTCTCTACTCTCCCTCTCGTGGCCACGCCCCCCTCGACGCGGCGCGGTGCGGTGCGGCGATCAAGGGATATTGCCAGACGGTCGCGGGGAACCGTGGCGGCGCTGGGCGCGGACGCGAAGAGGGCGCGCGTCAGGTCTGGCGAGGGCAACACATCATTGAAAATAACAGCGGTCGATTTGGTCGGGTGTTTACCGCGCGCGGAAGCCTCGCGCAACTGTGATTTCCGCGGAATAATTTGCACAGCGCGGCGGCAGTGCTTGCGAGGGCAGGGCGCCGGGAAGGAGGGAAGGGAGGGAGGGAAGCTCGAGGTAGGTGAGGAATGTGGTGTGGTTGACGGACAAGCAGCGGGGGGCAGCTGTGAGGGTGGCTGGAAGGGTTGCGGTAAGGGCGAGCGAAAAGAAGAAGGGACCGGGCGGTTGGGCGAGGGGGCGGTTGGGCAAAGGGGCGCGGTTTTTGGGCGAGGGTGGTGGTGGTTGGGCGTGGGGTTCGTGGTCGAAGGGCTTGGGGCGTGGGCGAGGGTGGTGGTCGTTGGGCGAGGAGGCGGTGAGTTCTCAGAAATGGGGTGGGTGAGGAGGCGAGCAGGCAGACAGGATAACAGGGGGGGGAGTGGGCCGGAGGTGGGCACAATCCGAACGGTCAGTAATCGAGAGATGGAGTGAACGGGCGGAGTTGTTAGGAGCAGGCGCGAGGTTTGGGTGGCGGGATGTGGGCGCGAAGGCAGGAGTCGGCCCTATCGAGCGAAGGGAGCAATGGGCCATGCGGTGCCCCTGCACCGCACGCAGACACTGCGTTGTGTTTGCGGGGTGTGGATGTGTTTGCAGTGAAGCGTCTCTCTCGTTCTCCAATGCTTGTCGTTCCCATTACGATATTGGAGATGTGTTTAGAGCTTTGTTCTCTATTTTGTAATACTCGTACATTGCATACTAGTCATTATTTCAGAACTGAAGGAAACAATTTATTGTTAAAATTACATGAACATTTCTTTTGCAACTTTTTTTTATAGTGTGTGTTTGTGTGTGTTTTTCATGTTGTCTCTGACGCTGGAAACCCTTCTTTTATACTGGGGATGATTCCACTATAATAACTTATTTTAATATAGTTGGATTTGTATCAAATGTATGCATCAAATGTTTCGTTTTGATTTGCAATTTGATATTTATGACGCCCAATACTTGTAATATACACAATGTATAATTAAAATTTTCTCTTTGTTTCAGGTGTGTTACTATCTCTGGATACGTGGTTTCTTGAAACAACGCATAATAATTACTCCTTTGAAGATTCACCAGGGAGGTACGTTTTTGGTACTATTAAAATATGTACTGTAAATTGAGTCGGGAACTAAGACATCTGTTGATACACATACTTAGTTTTGTTAAAAGATTACCTTATGTATTGATTATGTGAAGTATCGTTTAAGAAACAGCCTTATTTGATTGTTAGGTTTAATTTTGTCAAAGGAGAGCCAGCTTATGTTTTTCTTATTTACTTACAAATTATTACATGGGCAAAGAAGACTTTTAAGCCTCTATTGTCTGCGTGTTATGCAATTTTGGTTAGTAGTCTGTCGTAAATGACGAAAATGTTGGCCGTTAAAAACAATTAAACATTCTGCAATTTGTGTGTGTTTATTTTTCTAACATGTTTTCAGTAAACTTTCATTGAAGTTAAAATATCGTGTCAACTTTCGTTTCTGAATTAGGTTTTCATAACAATTTTTGAGTGCAATTTTGGGAATCGCAAATACGAGACCTCATTTACACCATCTCCTTAAACGTCGGCATTAAATAATAAATTCTTTACTCCCTGTTGAAATAAAATTCAGTAAACTTGTAGTTATTTTTGCCTACTTTTCCTCTGACCATCACTCCCTGACACACTACATGTTTGCTCTTCGCCCAAAATTGTTCTGGTGAAAATTTCTAGAATTGTAGAATAGATAGTAGGAAATTTTCGGAAATCATATTACATTTTCTATTACCCGTTAACCGAAAGAAAGTTCTGGAAGTGGGGAAACCAGTACCACAAAGACTAATATTAATTTAAGTCCAAACCTCCCGTAAAATCAGGCTGTATAAAGGATATAAAAAAGTATTTGGCATTGTAATAATACACAAAAAATGCTTTTAAAATTACAATGCCTTATCAATACAATAGAATAGTCATTGTAATATTGTAAGGAAATTCTTCATTTTCGAAATATAAGCGAAATTGAATTTTGCCATTGCAAACGGAAGACTTTTGAATTTGTTTACAAAATTTCTACCCTTTCGGTAAAAAAAACTCTATCTCAGTAGTTTTTGTCAGACAAGAGTGTTCTCTGTCCAAACGAAATTAACCCTTTCCTTACGAATTCATTGGCGTTTTGCTTCGAGTTTCTACTACATCCAGTGCCTGGCACACTCTAGTTCGAACCTGGAAGACGTTCAAAACGCTCTTACTCAGCTTTCCGCATTAGCTTGTGATGACAATGCGAGCAGGCGTCTGCGATAGAAAATTCCTTGTATTTCGACAATGACAATTTTAAGCGGGAGCTACCCAGGAGCTGGTGCGATCTTTCGGTGATGCTCCGAACTAATAGAAAGAAGTTGACAATCGACTTCAAGCAACTTTGCGCGAAGAAATAAATGTTTGATCAACAGAGAAGATATTCGCGCGGCTTTTTGGAGAAAATTAAGAGGCGGCAAGTTTAAAAGGTATAATCTCGGAGGCGCCAAGTTTAAAAGGTATAATCTTTTCCTCTGAAACACCTTCAAAGAACATCAAACGCTCTGTTAAAAAAACAAGGCGCCAAATTTGAAGTAATTTGGCCGGCAATTGTCTAGAACATGTAAAACACGAAACTATATTGTTTGTAATAATCGTAATAATGTCCGCGGGTTTTTTTCTGGAGGCGTGCCGCAGGGACGCAGGGGCGGCCGGGGCGATGCAGTTTGCGGGAGCGGGGCGAGCAAGGCCGCCACATGTCGCTCTGCGGCCGCCTTCTCATTTGTCACGACTCTACGCTCTACGCCCTGCGCCATGCGCTTGTTCCTGTCTACGGTCGCTCTGCTGGAAACTATTCGTTTTTGCGAAGAGGGGAAAATGTGCGGCAGAGGTATTCTAGTGTACATTGCACAGGTAGTTCTGTTTTGTTCTGCGGATCATCTTGATACTCGACTCTCATCTGTTATTACGAGATCGTGGTAGATTCTGAGTCTCCTTCCACTTTATCTCCGCCCCTTGAATTAGAGCGGCGAATACCATTTGAACAAGGGGTCTACCACAATTAACTTTTTACGATTTGCACATTTTGTTTAAACTATTACTTTATATCTCACTATGCGTATGTGTGCTACTAACGTTACTCGTGACAAACAACTACTTTTACAATATTGAAACGTAATCACAAAATGTAAAGTAAGTATTTGTCAGTATTTCATCCGATTCTGGGAATACTTTATGTGACTCACGGCAATAATGTAAGCAAGTTTGGTAATAAACCTAATCATTAAACTGCCATTTTAAAAGTTTATAGGTCGATATGGAAGAAAGAGAAAATTTAACTCACTAGAGAAATGTCCTTACGTGGGTGATGTAAGAGAGAAATCAATTCATTCGTTCAACGTTAGCTTTGATCTCACTTCAATTTATAATCAATGAAATTGTTAACACGTTTTCACTTGTTTATATTTTAATTTTTAATATTTAAGTGTACATGTAGATACGTGTAGTACATGTAAACATTAGTACCTCTTTTAAATACCTTTTTTTCTTTACATCCGCACCTGTTTGAGTATTTTATATCTTTTTTTAAATAGAATTGTTCAAGAGTAAATTTAAATAAGAATATCACGTTGCGGTGTTTTGTCCTTCATTCTATTTTAAAATCCATTACGAATTTACTGTGAGCGGCCGTTTTCAACCGGGTCGTCGGAATCAGCAGCGGTGGATCCCACCGTAACGCCGTAATCACGGGCGAGGGCCGCTCACAACGTGAGCCGAGGGCGGGGGCGACGGGATGGGGTTGGGAACAATGGTGTCGGCGCGGTGATGGGGTGGGGACGATGGGAAGGCGAGACACGGCGGACGGGAGAGAGAAGAGGGCGGCGAGAGGTGGTGGGGGGGATGAGTGGCGGGGTGATTGGGCGGGCCATGGAGGCGGGTTTGTGTTATGGTGGGGGGCGTTCGATCGGGTGCCGGCGGACAATTGGCGAAGAGGGGCCAGGGGGAGGGGCGGTGGCGATGGGCCGGGGGCGATTGGCAGGGAGGGGTGACAGAGAGGAATTAGAGCGAGCTAGCCGCTCGTTGCTGTCGCCGCGGTGCTGTGCCTCGATTTGCGACGCCGGCTGGCGACGCGAAGAGCGACGCGCCAGGGGCGCTGCGACAGGAGCCGCGGTGGGCGCCAGTGCGCGACGAATGAAGAGCCCCCTCCCCCCCCCTGGCGCCTTATTGGCGACTGCACCGCCGTGCGACCCACCCCGTTTGTGGGCGCACGCACACATTCGTGAACCGCCCAAACTCCTTCCTGCACGTCTGCCATGTGTCTTGCCGTTGCTGCTCGCCTCCGTCCTTCTGCATCCCCTCATGCCGATCCAGCTCATATTGTCCTGGGACACTTCTCGTTTTATCTTGCTGATCCTTTTCTCTCCGTTCTGATACTCGTCTTCATGAATCTTGCTTATGATCGTTACGTCTTAGTGCTCTCCTGCACGGCCCTGTTCTTTCCGTCGTTCTACACTCCGTAATTAATTTTGCCGTTCCTGTACTTCTCGACATGCCACACCCTACTGTGCTACATCTCTGGTTCATTCTGTATTCTTCCTGTACTCTGCTTCCGTCGATTACGCCTTAACGTACCCCTTTCAAATTCGTTCCTCACTAAGCATTCCAGGTCACCATTATTCCTTTCAAAGGCATTGCCATGCCGGTCTACTGCACGGTGCTCTCTATATTCTTCGTCTGCGTAAATTCACCGTTCAGTGGGTTCGCACTCTTCCGCCTCTGCTCACACTAAACTAGCCCAACTCAATCCCATCTGTGACCCCTTCCCCGCCTGATCTAATCTGTTCCTCCACGCCATCAGCTGCGTTTATTCACTACTCTCCATCCCGCTTCACCCGTCACCTAAATATTCCGGTTACTATACTCCGTGCCAGTCCGTGCAATCCATGCCTTGGTACGTGCAACTCTGTGATCCGTTCAACATCTACCCCCCACCTCCAGCAGCTTTGTCCCATCCCTCTACTATTGGTCCGACCCACCTCATTGCTGCCCTGTCAGTCACGTGTACATTCCGGTGGCTCTCGATCGCTCTTTGCGCGGTTGCGCCCTCGGCGCTTTCGCGT